AGATAAGCACGATTATGCAAGTCGATGATGTAGATTGACAATCAAGGTAGGAGAAGAGAAGAAAAGAATATGAAACGAAAGAAGACGCATCGGATACTAACATAAGATTTAAGTAAGAGAAAATAGTCCTCAATGGTGGTGCCTTGAATCTTGACTGGTAAGCGGAAACAATCTTGGTTTTACTTTTCATCTGATCTTTTGAATAATGCAGAGGACATAGATCACAGGTTCATTACTAGTGACGAAACTTGATGTTCTCAATACGATTTGCTGACGTCCTGGATATCCGACAACACGTGGCTACATTACGGAAAGGTATTTCAGCAGTAGCACTACCATCAAGTGCATTTCTTCACAGAGGGAGTACTTTGAAGATGACAGCTACCAATATAGGCTAGCTCATCAAACTTTATTTTCACAGGGCCATCTCAAGTATTAAACTGTCAAACCTCATATATACAGGGTGCAATGGATAAACTGTTATCCAAATTACGCAAAAATAAAACTAACTGACATCCTATTTTAATAGATATATTTACCAAAATTACGCAAAAATATCTTGAAATACTATAGAGTAAATTTATTCAATAAAATCGCCATTGGCTTCAACTACGACCTCCAGACAACTTCATTTAGAGTCCTTTTCTTTTCCTTCACATCACTTTTGTTATAGGTATCACACATTGTTTTAATAGAAGATCTACAAGGAATGGCGAAATGTTGTAAGAGCCAGGAGGCAAATTTACTGTCGATATCCTTGCGATTAAGGTATTCTGTAGACATTTATGTCGGAGTGAATTATTTTCTCCTTTGATCAGAATAGCATTTTTATGTCATAATTGTGGTTAGTCTTGTTACGGTTGGCGACGCATTTGATGTATTGTTTTGTAAAATGTTCCTTTTGTGTTCATATAATCTTTTATTTAGATTCTTTGAGGTTTCTCCTGTGTATTTTTTGTGAAAATTATGACAGCTGATGGAGTAAACTCTTCCTTCATGTTTTAGCTTATTGTTTTGTTTAGCCTAAGTTTAGTTTAGACTAAGTCTTTTTTTTGTTTTGTATGTAATAGTTACAAATTTTATGTTGAGTTTATATACTTTTCAGTTGTAGATGTGATAGAGTTAGCTGGTAGGAGAATATATATTTTTTATACATTGTTTGTATTTTTTTCAAGAGAGGCCGTATTTTGTTTTGGAATATTTTATGAGCCTTTTGTTTTACATTGAATATAAAATAATCAGGGTACTACAGAAGTTTCAAAGTGTTTTCAATATATTTCTCGTCTTCGTGTAAATAATGAGGAATGTATATCATTAGTGCTCTTAGGTAAAATCCGATGATTATGCCCGATTTTATTTTGTTATGATGTTGACTTCCGGTGGACACCGAGTTTTAAATTGTTGTTAATGCGGTGTAGCTTGATATCGAGGAAGGGTAACGAATTGCGTTCTTTCATTTCATATGTAAATTCCATTGTATGTTCGAATTTGCTTAGTTGACCTATTAGGTCAGGTAAATCAGTGTCACGAGGATATATACGTAGATCATCATCAATATAACAGAAGTATTTTGATTGTTTAAGTATTTTAGAAAGGATCGGATTCGAGAAATTCTACGCGGATACCACTCCACTGAGAGAGGGTGTCATTTTAATCCAAATTTTGTCTGTAACAATCAATATTTAAAGGTGAAGTAGCATTGATTTGTTATGAAAAGGTAGATTTTTGTTATTTTCGCACTTGTTAGAGAGAGCTTTACACCCTTGTGCCAATAAATTGAAAGAGAACGAATAATTCCGTTATTATTTACTTTTTTCGTATTTTTTCCAATGAAACATGACACAGTGCACATGTTAGTACTTTGTATGTCCAGTCCACGAAGTTGTTCCTTGCAGATTGACCACAGATTTTCGATTGGATTTAAATTCCGGGACAGTCTATGGTACTTTGATTTGCTCACTGGTAAGTTTTGCCAGTGTGTTCCTGCAGCGTTACAATTTTCGTACACTTCCTTAGAGTAACGTCTATCGCAGAGAATAAGTGTAAGACAACTAATCGACATCCGAGACAATAGTTTCTGGGCGTGAGGAAAATCTGATGCAATCACAGATGTCGCAATATTTTTCAAGGCCAAAAAAATTTCATCATACACCCCGAAAATAGATTTATATTACTGCACACCACTGCAAATGACCTAATCTGAGGAAAAAATAGAAATCGATTACACCCTGTCATGGTGAAAGAAAGGAAACTAACGCAGTTGTTTCAATTAATTTGCACAATGGTGTATATTTAATTGTGTCTGATGCTTTTTTTAGGAAATTTAGGCATTTTTCAATTCGGTTGTTAGTGTAGAGATATTCTTTTTACTCTCTTCTCGCTGTCATTTAACTTTCTTTTTACTTCCTTCCCTCTAATGTTTTATTTTTTACTCTCATTCTATCTTGCCTCTATCGTTTTACTTTTGTTTCCTTTTTTCTTTTTCTCCTTCTCTTTCCCACACTTTTATCTGTTTACTTTTCCTTTTCTTTTTGATAATATTCAATTCTATTTTTTGTCATTAGACTCAAATGTGGTACGGCTGTAGCCCAATAAACCAGAGAAGTCTAGTTGTACTATGGGGAGGAGGAGGAGGGTTTACGGGGAGGAAGAGAAGTCATCTCTTCATCTGATTGATGTCAAACTTCATTGATCACTTCGGTTGTGACGTATCGTCCAGCGAGAAATCACTAACACAGAGATCAAACCATTTTTGACACGTTCGAACTTACCTTCTCCATCAAACGCATAAATCTATTTCTTTTTTAGTTTTAACTTGCATATTAATTTTTCTCAAGATATTACTTATTTTCTTTTATTTTCAATATTGGAATCAATATTAGATACATGCTAATTATCTTCATTTATTTAAACAGCTGCCACAGTAATGATATGAAATTCTGTAATGTTTTAATTAAGGACTAAATGCCCATCATTGTCTCTGACGTCATATACAAACCTTTGAAACTATCCAGTAGAAGAGCGTATTGCGATTTAAAGAAACGTTTAAGTGTTTATGTATGTACGTGTATCAGTGAGTGTGTGTATATGCGTGTGCACTTGCTTGTACCTGTATGCTTATTCATGTACAGTGCACACGGGCGACACGCACCCGCAGAGCCCCACTTCAAAAATGGCGAATAACAGACCTCTCCACTGGCGCCTTGTGCAGCGACTTGTATCGGCCTCTTTGTCTGTTCTTGGCTTATCAACCATCTTTTCTCCCAGTAAGACAAAGTCGTTTATGACAATAAACTTGGGGAAAAAAATGAAGGAAATAAAAAAATATATTTCTCTCTTTTTCTAGATCTAAACATTTTCTTTTATTTTGTATTATTTTACTTACTACAATCTAACATCCCAATCAACATATAACAAAGAACTTTTTCTTCATCTCTGTACCGTCTCCCTTCAGGGCGTTAGCTATCACGGCTCTCCACAATTTCCTGTTTTTTGTAGTAATTTTTTTGTCTTTTTGTTATCTCTCGTAAACTTTGTTCTGACATCCATCTATAAAGCTCACTGGGTAGGTTATGCACTATTTTCCACCGCTCTTTTTGCATTCACTCTGTACTGTGAGTGTCAAATTTTCCAAGCCCTCTTTCTTCATTATGTGACCTACAAATTTCAACTGTCGCTTTCAGATGTTAAGGATATTCTTTTTAGATGTGCTGTGTCCCTTCAGGAGGTAGATCATGATTCATCACAATTTACTGTCCTTTGTCCGTCCTAATATATTTTGTCTTTGTTATCTCTCCTAAACCCTGTTCTGTCATCCATTTACTCAAGCTCGCTAGTTAGTTTTTCTTTTCTTTTCTTTTTTAATATTTCACCCCAAGTAAGGCAATAAAGTCCCTAAAACGCAAAGGGGTTACTAAGTGTAAGAGAATATGAGAAAAAATATTGAGGAGAGAGAACAATAAAAAGACAATAATTAAGAAGACAGAAGATAACGTTTGACATTGCATATAAATTTTTAAAGATCAAAGTTGACTGGGAATCCAGAAGAGAGTTCCACAAGCGAGAAGTGCAATAGAAAAAACTGTTAGCATAGAATTTACTGTTATATCTAGACATTTCAATTGAAACATAATTAGACCTTACCGCCAATCCAGTACTGCGCTTAAATTCATAAAATCTAAGTACCACAGCAGAAAGTTTATCAAAACAGTTACCATGAAAGTATTTATAGAAAAGGCACAGGGAAGCCACGTTACGTCCATTGGAAAGTGACTGAAACCGACCGTTCTGGTTATGACGATAAACAACATCCGCATCCTGGGTAGGAAGATAAACTACGTCCAACAGCAAGGCCTCTGGTTAGGTGGCTCAATTGCTAGTATTCCCAGGCCCTCCCTGACCCGAGATGGTATAACCTGTTAGGGTCCCAGCTATGGGCAAATAGTTAACCCCCAAACTGGGGTCAAAATACTATGAATGTATAAAAATAAGTTTTAATACCAGAAATACTTTATAAAATTATTACCAGCAAAAGATTTTAAGGAAAAATTTATTACCAACAATACATTGTTACCAGCAATACATAAAAAAAATACAAGCTATACATTTTTTGAAGAAATATTACGAGAAATATGTTTTTGAAGAAAAAATATTACGAGAAATATGTTTTTGAAGGAATAAATATTACCAGAAACAGATTCAGGAAAAAAAATATTACCAGCAAGAAAAATTTTGTCGGCATTAAATAACCCATTGAGGTGTTGATATGCCGTAAAACAAAACAAACAAACTGAAACCGAGACGCCAAACCCCACCAATAACATTGCAGATGCTTCTTGCGATTTTATCAAGAATCTCTAGATATATAGCAAGAGCTCTACCCCATAAGTGGCAGCAGTATTCAGTTATTCATGCGAGGTTATGCATTGATTTCATTTATCCCTCTTACTTTCAATCTGTCCTGTGATGAGTAAAAGAAAGGGGAAAAAAGAAGAAAAAATCTAGAACAGGCGCTTCACCGTAGAGAAGACAGATAGATAGATAGATAGATAGATAGATAGATAGATAGATAGATATGAAGAGACAGATTGATAAATAGATAGATAGATAGTATCAGAGTGAGACAGATCGATAGATAGATAGATAGTATCAGAGTTAGAGATAGTACTATCAGAGTGAGATAGATAGACATAGATAGATACTATCAGTGAGATAGATAGATAGATAGATAGATAGATAGATAGATAATTATCAGAGTGAGATAGATAGATATAGAGAGGTACTATGAGATAGATAGATAGATAGATAGATAGATAGATAGATAGATAGATAGATATGAACAGAATGTTATATATATATAAAGAGAGTGATAGATACTATCAGAGTGAGATAGATAGATATGAAGTGAGTGAGATAGATAGACAGATAGTATCAGAGTGCGATAGATAGATAGATAGATAGATAGATAGATAGATAGATAGATAGATAGATTTTTCGTAGGGCCTTAAGATTGTAAAACCTATTACGGTTTATATTCACCATATGAGGAGAGTAACGAATTGTCCTCTTCGAAAGAGGTGAAAAGCTAATAATGTCAATGTTAATATCAGCAGCTTCCTTATGAGGAAACATTTGCCATTGATTGACAGACCAGGTTGTAGGTGGAAATTTGTGAAATCTTTCCGTTAAAACAATTTTTCACTAAAATAGGTTTCTCAAGTCCAATAGTTATTATCGATATTTCCAGTAATTATGAAGTTTCCTTCCTAAACTTTTGTGAGAAGTCGTGTGGAATATCAACATCTTGACTATGTCATTGCTTTCGCTTCGAATTACATGTGCTACCCATTTTACGTGTTGCTGTTGTTGAAAGAGTTCAAGTGATATGATTTTTGTTATTTGTTATTAAGAGGCTTATTGATTAATTGATTGATTCGTTTTTTACAGCTTATCAACCCATTGCAGGTTATTTAAAGCCAGAAAATATTTTTTGATTGTAACAATTTTTCTAAATTTTTTTTTTGAGATAATAATGCTTTAGTGATACAAGACTTATTAATTAACCCATAGCTGGAGGGAAAGGATCGATTCCTACCTTTCTCAAGGGTATTTGCGTGGAAGTGAATATACCGAACTCAATGGAAATTTGAACTCGGCTCTCCAATTAACAATAGGGAGCCATTATCCATTACACCAATCCGACACCCAAGCTTACAGAACCTGGTATTCCCAAGCGGTCACCCATCTAGATACTGACCAGGCTCGAGGTTGCTTAATTTCGCAAATAGTACGGGAACCATGGTTTCAACGTGATATTGCCATCAGCTTGAATAGATAGATGTTTAGAGGAACTACATAGTTACACTAGCCGAAACCTTCACGGCTAAGACCCGCTATGCTTTGTGAAACCGACTCGCAATATGATCCTTCTCCGATCATTATAATCTGAACTTGTTCACGTCTAGGGTCAACCTTTCCCTACATATCCGTATAATCTGTTCCTCTTACTCTATCTCAAGTGGCCCTCAAGCCTTGTACAGGGTGAACAAAATGAATTATTACTTTAACTGAGCAGATATGGGCCTTCAAGAATAACTGAACGAGGAAGCGTGCTTCCCTTAAAAAGTTAAATAGAATCTTGCTGAGATCGAGTGATCTGAAACACACCCGATCAAATGATGTTTCTCCTACAAAAGAGGCGCAGGTTCAATTCCTGCTGGAGAACACATTTTCATTATTAGGTTTTTCGAGTACGCAGACCGATATATGTAATACACACTGTTTAGAAATAAAATAGAAAACCGGGCGTCTATTAAAATCACGTGTATCCATTAAAAACAACGTTTGAAGTAATATAACTATATTTGCATATATGCATCTTTATATGTCTATATATGTATTTCTCATCCATGTCTCTCTCTCTCTCTCTCTCTCTCTCTCTCTCTCTCACACACACACACACACATTCTCTCTCTCTCTCTCTTTCTCTCTCATTCTCTCATTCTCTTCCTCAAGGATTACTGATTTTAATATGTCATTCTGTTTGGTGTTCCATGTTGGTTACCCCGCCCAACCAGGCTCTTCAGTCACCTATATACAGCAACAGTTCGATTGTGCCATAAAACATCACTGCAATCGATTTGCATGAATTTTAGTGGGCGTTTTAGTGTGTGTCTCGTTCAAGCTCAAAATCTCTCACACAGCCATTGAAACGCCACAGAATATGAACACGTGATACTTACTTGACCAATGAAAAGAAACAACATAGAATTCGAAATAGTGAATCAGTCTTTACTTCCCCCCCCCACAAAATAAGAATTCTGCTGAAGCTACAATAAAATTTTTATTAAGCTTTTTTTATGTTTTTCTTTTTTAATAATTCTGTCAGATTTAATCCTGATTTCTCAAATCATTCTTTTTTTTATATAGTTTGGGCCGTCTAAAAAATAAATAATGCAAAATAATTTCAATGTTTCAACAAATACACACCACACCACACATATGCATATATATATATATATATTTGTATGTGTGTGTGCATGTATGTGTGTGTGCATGTATGTGTGTGTGTGTGTGTGACTGCCAGTGTTTGAATTAAAGTACCACATTTTCATTCTCGCCGACAGCTGCGTGTATATTGTCAAAGTTTATTTGTATTTGGCCTGCGGCTCTCAGTGAATCTCCTGCAGTTCGACAGGCAAAACCGACTGCTTGTTTTGAAAACTGCAGCTGTTTCGAAAAAATGCATTGTGTGTAAATGCAAAGTGGGAGACGTAGAATACCGAAGACCCCACGCAATCATTCAGATTTATGAACCAGTAGATTCAGTAATGGCTAGAGTAGGCGGGGAGAGGATTGAGCCGCTCGTCTTGTGAATCATCATTCAAAACATTCACAATATTTAAAAACAATGACTACTTTATCTTATTCTCGGTTTTCTTCTCCCCATATATGTATATATATATACATATATATATTATAAATTTACTAATTTAAAAATATGGTTCAATCGCTACGCAAGAATTACCATGTTTCAGAAATAGAAACTAAAAACTTCAAGTTCAATTATAGAATTAAATTAAAGTCCCTAGTCCTGTTTGATTTTCAAGCGAATTTTGAATTTTACGGAGCTTTATAAGCACATACATTCATAATATTAGTTTCTAAGGATACGGGGAAATCCAATCATTTTAATAAGGAGCGGTAGGGTATTCATTTTTACTGACAACTATTGTATCAAAATATGAGTTACTTCCGAAAAGAGCCTTTTGCAACGAATGATAACATCCGTTCAACGCATGTCGTCTGGTCTTTGTCAACGACAAAAAGTTTTTCGACACTTTTGTTTCTCTTTCTCTTTATTATTATTATTATTATATATATATATATATATATATATATATATATATATGTATGTGTGTGTGTGTGTGTGTGTGTGTATTTAGATTGAATTGAGTTTGTGACACTGGGTTTCACGCATATATATATATATATATATATATATATATATATATATATATATATATATAAAAATAACGTGCGTTTTTTTATAGCTGTAGGCACGTTTATTTTAATTTAATAATAAAAAAAAAAATCCACTCCCATTTATTTTAAATATAGAATATAAATCCCGTATATTTTAAACGCCCCTATAATATATGGACTGCGTTAATCAGATATTTTATTAGAATTTAAATGATGTAACGGTTAGGCTCTACTCGGTGAGGAAATATACATATATATATATATATATATATATATATATATATATATATATATATATTAAGTTAATAAATTAAGTTAATATAATTCAAGTGGATCCAAACTAATATAAAATATTTAAATTTATCCACAAAAGAGCTCATAGTATTTATTATTACAGAGCAATCGCCGGGGTTGATAAGACCGAAATAGATTATTCCCCATATGAGGTGATTTTGGATGTTATTGTTCATTATATATATATATATATATATATATATATATATATATATACTTTATTCCATTTAATCTTTATTTAAAAAAAAGTATTATGTAAATTTTTGTAACTTTGTATAATATTTATGCATTACACCCTAATCTTTATTCGGTAAAAATTTATGTCTTTGTTGTTTCCGTTCCTTATATTATGGCCACTACTGTATATATATAACGAATAATCTGATAATAAGGATCTTCAAGAATGTAAGTGCCAAAATGTTGAGCTGTCTGGCATTTATAAGTCATATATATATATATATATATATATATATATATATATATATATATATATATATATATATATATATATATATATATATATATACATATACACACGGCCTTATCACGTTAAAACACCAGTTCCCGTACGATCATTGAAGTTAAGAAAAAACGGAGCCAGGTCAGTAACTGTATGGGTGACCGCTTGGGAATACCATATACTGTAATCTTGAATGTGCAAGTGGTGTAATGGATAATGACTTCTTAATTGGAGAGCTGAGTTCCAATTCCACTTGAGTTCGTTATATTCTCTTACGCGCAAATGCCTTTAGTAAAGATGTGAATCCCTCCAGCTATAGGTTAATTAGTAAGACTTGTATCACTAAACAATTATTATCTCCCCCCCACACAATTCCTACACTATAAAAATATTTTCTGGATTTAAAAAACCTGTAATGAGTTGATTAGCAATAGAAAACAAATTAATCAATCTATCATCCTTTACAGCAGGCGATTCTAAGAGAAAGTGTTAACAGAATTTGTAAATGGCAGATACAATCTTAATGATAAAATTTATGCAGATGGCACAGTGTTGGAGCCGACACAAAAAGGAAACAAAAGATCATAAAGGAAAGTGAGAAGGAAAAAAACTAAGCATCAATTGTAAAAATTCAGAATATATGGTTGTCAGTATGAGAAACATCCCTAGACTCGATCTCCGAAATGATAGATCTTTCTGATGTTAAGTGGGTGTGGTTGGGTGGTATTCTATTAATTTAGTCCAGGATTTTTTTCATTTTTTATATTTTCCTAACTTTTCCGTGAATCTTTGTGTGTCTGTCATTACTGTTTGCTCATTGTTTTTGTTTTTGTTGTATACATTATAACTATACCCCGCCTCTTTCGTCGAATGTGGTTATCATGATGTTTTTCTTCGTGGCTAAGTTTTTTAGTACCCGTATGTATCTCCTGGGTAGCGTAGTTTTCAGAAGTGTTTGTGAGGGTGGCTGCTAATATACCTTGTACGAAAACTTTTTCGAATTTGGACTTGTTGAACATACGTTTTTGGTTAAACTTGTAACAGTGTCAGCATTCTTCAGGGCATTAGCGAGTTTCAAGCTAAAACTCAAAACTTCAAATTCAGTGACAGAGAATTTGTATTTGGAGATGTTGTGGATAAAATCCAGATTACCAATCTATTTCCCACTACTGTTGATGCTTTGAATCTTGTGTTTTAATATATACTGAAATCCTGAGATTAAATAACGGTGTTTTTTTGTCTTTTGTCTGTTTTCTCTCATTTATTGATGGAGTTTTAATAATAGAGAAATAAGTTAAATTATGAAACATTTCCTATTTGTTCTTTTATTTTCTCATCTCCTCGGATGCCGATCCAAATTTCAGCGGGGATCGAAACCGGGCTGAATTAGCGTCAGACGGAGAATCTACCCTTAAGCCGCTGGCGCACGCCAGGGTTGAAGATGAATTTAAGCGTCTGTCTATATTTCTGAGATGAGGTATTATGTACATTATTTACATTATTCGGACTATTGTCCTCATCTTTGTCGCCATATTTATCACAACGTTTCCGCCATTGTACGCTCCGGCCTTCTTCAGGTGGTTGGAATGTCGAACTGAACCGTTTATTTCGCTCACTGGGGTAGACTGTTCTAGTTCTACATGCCATGTTTGATGGATGTCAGTTATCAGTTATCTCTTGTTGATTTCCCTCTGAATGTTCTGAATTTAAGCGTATTTATTTATTTATTTATTTTAGATAAACACGCCAGCGACTGAGAGAATTCGATTCATTTTATCGAAGAGTATTATGTGTTTTGGTTAAGGTTGTGATATTGTCATCTTTCTTTAAGCCGTGGGGATATTTCAGACCAAAAGTTGCTGCTTAGGTCGTAAATCTTGTGTTTTAAGCGATTTAATTGCTTGTAGTTTGTGTGTTATAATTTTCGTCACAAAATTTCGGCTTCAGATTTGGAAATTATATTTTCACTACGTAACATCTTTTCAATTGATGTGATCCTGGTCATTGCGGTGCTTTTCTTGATGGTTCAGTTGCTCTGCGCATGTAACGAGGTTATCAAGGGTTCAACAAAATAGTTAAGAAACAATCAAAAAATAAAAACAAATCCTGGATCAGATTAATAGGATACCACTCCCAACACACCCACACAATACGGCTTACTCAAACACACACAAACTCGACATAACCGTCTGACCATTGTGTCCGGTACGGTATCAACAGTGCACCCTACAAAGTAGCTAGAGCGCTTGTAAAAATCCTAAACCCGTTCCTACGTATAAATACAACACATATCAAACACTCTGGTAACTTAATCCAGAGAATACGTAACGTGAATGTGGAAAATATGGTTCTGGCGAACCTAAACATCAAATCATTATACACCAACATACCCATCATGAAATACAACATATTGAGAAACCACCTCGAAAAGTCAAAAGAAAAGCTTCATCTACCCGTCCAGAAAATTTTTAAAAAATATGCAAACTAATCACCTGCCATTGCTTCTTCTCTTTCAATAATATTCTCTACAAGTAAAAATCTGGTTTATCTATGGGCTCACCTCTCAGTGGAGTTCTCGCTTGCTTTTTTATTGAATTCTTAGAATCCGGTCCATTTAGACACATCATGCCAAACAGTTCTACTTACCTAAGATATATAGATGACGTTCTCTTATTATATCCCCAAGATAAAAACCTATTAGACATAATAATGAAACTCTATATTGGTGAACCGAACACTGAATTATTTTGAAATAAGCAATTCATTACCTTTTTTTGATATCTTACTGTTGTGGTACGATCCACCTAATTTACATAGTGGAGTACCGACCATATAAATATGGTTGGTACCGGGAAGACGAGGGAGGAAGAAGAGATCCAATCCAGAGACTCTGCCCGACTGCGACTAAGTTAACCCATTCTACAGGAACGGTCTTCCCAAGAATATACCAAACTATCTGTAAATATTGTGTACACGTTCTTGTGTCAATACATTTTGTTTAAGTACATTCTGTGTTGTATTATTATTATTCCATGCTTTATTCAAGTTTCAACACTTACTAATACGCAACAAAGAGAAATTAGATTTTAAAGTATATAGTAAGCTCACACACAAAAGCGATCTAATTAACATCTATTCCCACCATAACCAAAAAATAAAATCTGGACTAATATTTTACATCAGAGACCTTAGGATATGTAGCTCTGGAATACCTAAATGAAGAAGAGAAATATATTAAGAGAACATTCAAACTTTTCAACTACCTACATTTTATCCTCAAAGCCAAAAAACAGTCAACATCAATAAGATTTCTCACAAAAATTACACAAATTTCATAATCCTGTCCTTCAACAATTTTTCTACTAAACTCATAAAGAAATTATTCATCCCTGATACCGGATCATTACCACCACCTCCAAGACTATCGGAGATATAATTAGGAAGAAAAATAAACCGAACACCAATTCAAATGCTTGTTTTTATCAAATAATTTTTTTACAATGCAAAAATATTTATTTTGGGGACACATCACGTGATCCAAAGACATCATCTACGAACACAAGAGAGACTTGCGTTTGGACAAACGATGTAACTCTCGTTTTGCATCGAAATGATGCAGAACATTACATTGATTTCACTAATGCCAACTTAATTTAAAAAAAGGTACATAATTCTTTTAGGAGAGAACACATTGAAAACTTCATAATAATATTATTACCAACTATAAACACACGTCTAAAACATTACCTTACATCAGCACCATCTTTGAATACATTCTTAAAGAATCCAACTTACATCTATCTAATCAGAGAATACATTTTTAAAGAGGTCAACTATAAATTAGAACCTTGTGACACCCCGCTACACGGTTTGACCACACAAAGGTGAAGATGCCAGAACTGCCATTACCATCCGATGCCCACTTAGATATAGTCTTCACAAGTCAACCCACCGTAGGAGCTATATGGTGAAAAGTCACCCCCGTGAGATAGTGGCAATATAGTGAAAAGTCACCCCCGTGAGAGAGGGGTTATATGGTGAAAAGTCACCCCCGGAAGATAGAGGCTATATGGTGAAAAGTCACCCCAGACAATGCCGCGTAAACGGTTTCAAACTCTATCAAGGCTGGAAAGGGAGGACAGTGTAGCTCCAGATGTGGCAGCCATGCTGCATTTCTGGTTCGATGTGCCTCTTGTAAAGTATGGCTGAAGAAGACAGGTATGTTTTGAAGCGGTACAAGGAGCCGACCATTTTTCTAGCACCTTTATCGATGCATAGAATAAGAATTCTACCTGAGATCTGAGGTGAACTTAATCCCAAGAGCCTCATTGAGAGCGCAACCGTCCATCACGACTGGTGTAAATTCAGAGTCATCTCTGAGATGATGAAACGCTATTAGCTTGGTTTTTGGAGTTATTGGAAGTACTGAATATATACTGCTATTTTCGTAATATTGTCCCTATTTTTAGAACAATATAACGACGTTTAAACAACTCAACATAATATTCTGCCATTATTTCAACGGCATGTTTTGCTTTCTCTTTTTTTTTCTTTCTTTCTTAACTTTGTGGTCGAGTTGGAGTTGGCTTTCCAGAATGGAGAATTATAGTCAAAACATGAACACGCAATCTCCAGACACCGTTGCTGAGTACAAGAGGAACATATGTTAGTTCTTTGTAAAACCACGTGACCCGTGACCCTCTGACTAGACACCAAGCGGTGCGTATGCACAACTGAACATATGTCCACACATGCTCCAGGCACTATCCTCACTACCACCTACCCTTCCTCTAACATCAGGGACATACACACAAGCCCCCGAGCATATTTACGCATTCGGGGGTCGTGATGGTTATATAAAGATTCATATTAATCTACTTTGAGAATCTATCTGAAATATTAAAACTTACGAAATGCCTGCGAGAAAAATCTTAGATAATTTTTATACATGAGACCTTTTCTTTTACTCTCTTATTTTCTCTTCGTTTTCCAAAAATGTGATATATGATAATTTGTGCGTTTGGAAAGGAACTTTTGGGATGGCGTATATGATTAAGCAATAGTCCCATAACAATGTTACCTATAGTCAGCCGCCCTGGGTATGACGATAAACTACATCCGCGTCCTGGGTAAGACGATAAACTACGTTCGACAGCAAGGCCTCTGATCGGAAGGCTTTGAGAAGCG